TATATTATAGTGCAGAATACTATATTACTAAGGCATACTATTATGCTAAAATATGAAAAATCAATGTACAATAGAAGGTAAACATAAATGTGCACAGGAAAGGGCCTTGTCATGCAGCAGTCCATGCTTTAGCAGCCAGACACAGTCCTCACTTGTGCCCTGCCTGCCTTTTGTCCAGTGAGACCACATCCATGCTGTCTGTACCTCTCTGGCTTCTTCTGTGTGCTGAGGGGCAACAACTGATCCTGAGGTCTGAGCTAACCCTCCTTCCGTGCTATCCCCAGACTGAGGTCACTGAGGACTGAGAACAAGGGCTTGGAGCTGAGCAGCAGCCGGTCTGCAGTAACCATAAACTCAGGCCCAAGACCTGCAATCTGGCCACAGCTGGGGATGGAAACACCTGAGAGCTGCCAAAGCTTGGAAATGGCAGGTAGGGCCATTTTTCTTCATTTGCACTGGCTGTGGGGCTTGGCCCTGCCCTGTGTCACCTCCTAAGTCATGGTACCCAGTCTGGGACTGAACCCTCAAATGCCAAAGACACTATGGAGGATACCTATATAGAAGCAGGCAGGCTCCCCCACCTTTACTCTCCAGAAGGGTGCTGCCTGCTTAAATAATTTAGATGAGGTTCAGACCTGACATCTCAGGGCAGCGGTCAGGATTGCTGTTTTTAACCTGTGAATTTAACTTTTGTGTTTTTTAAGTCACGACTCTGATACAAAAATACTTAATGTTTGAAAAAGCCAGTTCTCCTTTTAAATGTAGATTACTAATTCACACAGATGAAGGAACAACTTATAGCTTGTACCAAGCCTGTTGGTTACTATGGAAATGGGGCAGTCTGACACTACCCCATGCTCAACACCTATGCTTAATAAACCACTCAGGAAATCACACACACACACACACACACACACACACACACACACACGAGGGGGAAAAAAGCTCCTTTCCTTATGTTTCTACATTTTATACGGTATCATTTGTTTAGTTTTATTATTTTGTTAAGATGATTGAAATAATTTATTAAAGTTAGTTTAGTCCCCTTTCTTCAGAAGCTCATGATGGCCTGGATATCTGTAGATATTCAAAGACCATCCATTAGATAGGTTAAAATATTTAGTGGCTGGGAGTATGGCTCACTGACAGAGTACTTGTCTAACAACCCCAGGCCCTGGATTTGGTTCTTAGCGTGGAAGTGTGGTTGAAGAAAATAATAATATATTCTACATATACACATCCAATTCGCATAATGAGAGTGGTAGATTAAAAACTGCAAGAAATCAATGTTTTAGAGTGTGCTCTTGTACTAGGCCCACTAGGCCAGGCCCAGCCCAAATGGTTAGGTTACAAAAAAAAAAAAAAAACTTGTAAAGAACCAGTCTTCCAAACAGGAGGTTAACAGCAGCCAATCAGAAGGCATTTGGTTTGTCTGAAATGACATACACAGAAAATCCCACCTTAAATCTGCAACTACCTCTAACGACCAATCTGGGTTCCACTCCTTGCTTTTCTTTTTCTACTTATAAAGCCCACCTCTTCCTAGCTTTAGCTATAGGAGCACCTTTTAAATAAACAGGATGCTTCCATTTCAAGAATGTCTAGCAGAACCAACTACATCTGCAAGAACACTCCGGTGCTGACTACACTTCTAAGTCTTCCTTCAGGAACACTGCCAACAGACTCGCGCTGTCCTGGGACTAGAAAAGTGGAAATGGAACAAAAATTAGTGAAAGAAAAACAGCAGAGGCTTTTGGTCCTGGGTCAGCAGTTTAGGCTTCTGAATTTGTCCTGTGCAGTAACTTATTAACAGGATTCTTCTAGTCCCAGTTCTAGCAACAAAACACTGGAGTCATGTGAGCAAAGAACATACTTATTTACCATGTATCATCAGACTAAAAATATGTCACAAAACATAATACACAGGCTGGCAAGATGGCGCAGTGGTATAAGAGTGGTTGTCCCTGAAGCCCGCTAATCTAAGTTCCACCCCTGGATCCCAGCAGGGAAGGAGAGAAACAACTCCTAGACGCTGTTTTCTAATCTCACACGTGCACCATGACGTGTGGACCCACACTTCTACATACACACCACAATAACAATAACACAGTTTAATATAATACATATAATACAGAGTATGTTCTCAAGTCTACATATAACACAGATGAAAGAGTGGCTCAGGTGGTAGTAGTACTCAGGATGCACTTGGGAGGCAAAGGTAGGGGGATTTCTATGAGTTCCAGGCCAGCCTGGTCTACAGAAGGAGTTCCAGAACAGCCAGGGCTACACAGAGAAACCCTGTCTCAAAAAACAAAAACAAAAAAACAAAACAAAACAAAAAAGAGTGGACAAATACATACCAAAAGATTAAGAATGGGTTATAGATTTTTTATGCTCTTTTCTGATTACTGATGTTTTCTAAGTTTAACTATATTTTATCTTTGAAGAAAAACATCTTATTTACAAAATATGATTATATTATACTTCATACTTCTTAGGAAGCAGTATTGGAAACAAAATAAAATACAGAGCCACAACACAATTTTTTTAAAAAAAAAAACAGGCAATTAATCCCTAAAATCTCTAGAACCAGGTATTAAAAATAAATATAAATAAATAAATAAAACTACCAAGGGCTGGCTTTGCAAAGCTATGAATTGAAATGCAAATTGTTTCCACAAGCAGACAACATCAGAGTCCTTCTTAAATACACAGGAATTTACTATGGAATTCTGTAGTAGGTACACTTACACCATTATCATATCTAGTATGCAGTAAGTACTCAAAATTTCTTGATGAAAGAATGTTCTGAATTTATATATATGTGAGGCAAGTTGGTTGATGGGGATAATGTCCTAATCACAAGGTGGAACAGGTGTGCGCAGAACAATGTTACTTGAACTATAATTAACAGAAATAACTCAGACATTAAAAGATGACATCATTTCCTCCCTGTGATTGTGGGTTTTCTCTTCATCTGTGGTCAGCTCCCCTTGCTATATAAACATTATAGCATTCAGACGGGAAGGCTGGTCTAGAGACTCATGCTTACCCATTTTCAGAAAAATCCAAACCAGAGACGGTGTTTTGTAGCAGCGAGAGCCTGGCTGTGTAGATGTACCACTCAGAAAGTCCTTACCTAACATAACTACCATTCACCTGGGTCACAGTGCTCTGAGTACTTGCACAAAGGGTTTGAAATCAGTCTTTCAAAGAGTAATCTGCACTCCCAAACTCTCTCTAGCACTCTTCACAATAGCCTCCCTCCATACTGCTTCCTTTAGAACTGAGGGGGAGGGGCAGAGAACTTTGGACATGGGGCCAGGTTTGGGTTTGGAAAAAGGGTTGAAATGTGATTTTAAGAGAACAGTGATTTGAAGTTTATCCTCAGAATAATTTTCAATTTGCTTTCCACATTTGGAATTGTGATATTCAAGTTCATCTCTGAGAATTTTCTAAATTTTTTGGACCTGAATAACTTATGTGGTATGAGAGACATCACTAACAAAGATAAAGCAATATAAAGACCATGACGTCGTCTTGTTAGACTCGTGGTCTTATGGGTAAACTGTGGTTTTCAAACTCTTCTTCGTAGGGTCTGTGATTCACAGTGACTTTACAATAAGCACCTTGAGCCGGTTTTTTGTTTGTTTTTTGCTGTTTGTTTTTAAAAATATATTGAGTAGCACTCAAGGGAGATCATGTAAAAAGTGAGAAAGCAAATTCAAATTGTCAGGATTTTCTTCAAAAGGAGAGCTATTCAACAGTGCTCTACCATAACCCTTGGATTTCACCAATGAAGGATTTTCTTCTGAAGAAACCCATCCTCTTGAAGAGAAAACAGAAGCAGTGCTTGAGATGGGAAATTTGAGTCTCCAGAACACAACCCTGTGAAAGCATTGGGATCGGGTGAGTAATTAGTTATTGCTAAAATGGACTATGGGTTACCAAGCAGGAATCGTCTATGAGATTTCAGGCAAATTCCATGCTGGTCTTAGGTTTTCAGCAATGCCTGGGTATCCATGCTTTTTAAAAGGTCACAGGTACTTGGCTACAGCCTCACAGGGGATCTAGAAACCACATGATTCTGGGTGAGCGGTTTGGGGACATACATTCGTGTTTAAATCCCATTTCTTTTAGTTACTAGCTCGGATTGTGGCAAGTCACCCAAGCCTTCCATTCTCTAAGAGAAAAACGAAAATAAAAAACTAGAATGACTTTGTTGTTAAAGATTGTGCTGAGTGCAGGGTGGGGGTGAGGAGTGGGTATACGTGGATGTCTACATGGACACAAAATTCTAAAATGCCCACGACAATGGCTTCTCAGGTTCTTTCAGCTCTAAGTCAATAAATGATAGTTCGCGATCATTAGCATAGACAGCACTTGCGGAATATTTGATCAGCTATGTCCCTAAAGTACTGTTTCTCAATCCCCCCAGCCTACCCCCGGGGCCTTTCTTTATTATATTTTCTTTTCTATTAAAATTTAATACCACAGGTGCTGTGTATCTATGCTGTGGTCCTCTGAAAGCCCACAAACCCTGGGTTATATAAGATTTCACACACACACACACACACACACACACACCACACACACGAACAGGGGCATCATTATCAATGTTGAGAATGCACGTCAGAGAGAAAAGTGACTTGGACAAAGTCAAGTGACTCATTTACTAGCAGAATTAGGTCTGAATTAAGGATCACAAAGTGGTCATCTGATACCAGCTTGTGACTGTCTTGCTTGGTGTATTTTTTTTTTAATGAAAAAATTAGTTACGGATATTTGCTAATCAAGAGATTTTCAACTAAAACACCCAGGCATCCCGCTGCTCACGAGACCTCGGAGCGTCGCCCCTCTGAGCTGGACGGAGGGGCGCCCTGGACCCCGCCCCTCCCCTAGGGATGCGCCTACTACACGCCTCCCTCCATCACCCGCCGCCTTAGGACAACCATCTGGGGGCCGCTCGGCGGGCGCCTAACTGGCTGCAGGTTCCGAACCTCTTGGCGCGCTCGCTCTCCGGCTTCGGAGCCCAGGAGCCGGCCGGTCGGTCTCGCACGTCTAAGGCCGGGCCCGGCCTCCCCGCCGCGCCGCCAGCAGCGGGACAGACTCCCCGCCGGGCGCGCCACACAACGTCTCCCTCCGGCGCGCGCACGGGCCACTCGGCGGCCCGGCATCCGATGACGCCGCGTCGCCGGCGCTGCCTTGCGCGCGCCCGGCCCGCCAGCCAATAGCCGGAGCCACTCTGTGCACGTGACACTCGCCAGCCAATGGCGGCTCGAGGCGGCCCGTGACGCGCGGGATGGCTCCGAGGGGTTTCGAACCGGCCCGCGCGGGGCCGTGTGTTCTCGCGGTCCGCCTAGGCCTGTGCGCGGAGGGTCTTAAGGGGGAGCAGCTGCCAGCCTGCAAAATAGGGGCAGCGACTCCCCATAGCGCCATGCAAAGTCGCAGGTGAGGAAGGAGGAACGAGGACAGCCCTGGGGCTTCGCAGACAGAGCCACGTGCTCCGTCGCAGCTCCCAGCGAAGAGCCTGTATTATGCATCTGATGTGTTTAATGTGCAAAATAAATATAGTGGAAGTATTGTCTTGCATAATGACAGTTTAAATATCTGCTCTAGTACTGTACTAATAGGGGAAGTTGAATGAGAGAGAGAGGAGAATTGGCTCTACCCAAGGATCCAAACGTTCTACTTTGTAACCCTTAAAAAATTAGTCTTCCCTTATCCTCTCTGAGGAGTGGATGGAGGTTGGGGTGGGGGGAAGGTGAGGGAAATAAAACACGATGCCTTTATTTTAATAAAGAAGGACTTTGCTAAAAGCCCACCCAATAACCTAACCATATTAGAGATCTCATATACTCAGACTCAGTATCACGGCTTCGTGTAATTGAGAAATATCTTCGCTGGGCCCTTTACTGTGCTCAAGGAAATCCCATACCCAAAGAGGGAGGGATGAATCTGAATAGGCATCTGGCAGCTTCTGCTCCATCTTTGGTGTCAAACTCTGCAAGAAGTTCTATTAACTCGTACAGCTCAGTAGAGAAAAGTCTTTCCAGCGCAGACCGGTTTGTTGGCAAGTGTTTGCTCCGTGGTGCCCTGTGCTGGGTACATTTTACATACATTTCCTATTTCATGCCATCACTGGGTTTGTGGAGCACATGACGCTGATGGATGTGAATGGTAATAAACTAGAATGTAGAGGGATTTAGGCGTCCGAAATGACTGGTCTGCTTTGAATTAGTTGTACAGTATTGCAAACACATAAACGTAAGGAATATAATTCTGTATACACAGTTAACAAAGTTCACTCTGTCTAAAGTTAACAAGAATCAACAACGGCAGGCGATAGTGCCACACACCTTTAGTCCCAGCACTTGGGAGGCAGAGACAGGCAGATCCCCATCAGTTCAAGGCCAGCCTGGTCTACAGAGTGAGTTCTAGGACAGCCAGACTACACAGAGAAGCCCTGTCTTGAAAAACAAAACAAAATATCAACAAACAGCATAAGGGAAAAAATGTATCACTTTGTAGCCTAGGAAACAGGTCTTATATAAACATACAATACAAAAAAGATTTTTCACATTAAATTATCAATGCAGTATTTGGAAAAACAAACATTTTTGGTCAAATGGAAAGTGAGAATTGAAATTGACTTGGTGTTTCTTATTACTATCCAAGGTCACAAATATTGCCTATGTTTAGGGTTTTTAAAGAAGAAACAGGGGTGTGGGAGACAGGGAGGGTAAAAGGGGAGAGGGAAGGAAATAAGTGGAGTGGGAAAATAAGTATAGCTCAATAAAAACAATAAAAAAGAAGCAGGACTAGTTTTATGCTTTAATAAACAATGCCTGTTACATACTTATGATACATTAGAAAATCAACAATTAGCCTTTGAGAAGACCAACAAGTATACAGATAATATGAACATGTAGAGATTATTTGTATATGGGTTGTGTAGACGAGAAGGGATCTATTTGAGAGAGGAAGAAGAGAGACTTGTCGAAGACTTGCTAGGGAACAATAACAGCTAAATCTCCATGCAGACTTGAAAGGATCTAGTTAGGAAGAAGATGGTAGTCCAATACCACTGAGGTATTAACAAGGATAGCATATCTGACTCATGGATGTAAGGAAAAGCACAGGAGAGCAAACCGAGGGGGCAGGCAGTATGCTGTCACAGCGTTTGTACATTGTCCTCCTGCGGAGTTTGTACTCTTGTGGCCACTAGCATCCATTCTCTCTCTCCCTTGCTTTTGGGAGGATCTTTGTGTGCAGGCTTATGTGGCAGTATGATGCCCTGTGCTCCCGGCCAACAGATGGGTAAATGACCAGGTCGGACAATCACATTATTTGCTAAGGATAAGAGAAAATAGTGGGATAGGAGATGAGAAGTGTTTAAATGTGCTGTGTGTAGCAGCAATTTTCTTACAAATCGAAACATCCTAGATGGAGGTTTATAAAGACCCAGAAAGTAAATATCTGAAAATTCTTTTTTTAAAAATATTTATTTATTGATTTGTTATGTATACAATAGTCTATCTGTGTGTATGCCTGCGGGCCAGAAGAGGGCACCAGACCTCTTTACAGATGGTTGTGAGCCACCATGTGGTTGCTGGGAATTGAACTCAGGACCTTTGGAAGAGCAGGCAATGCTCTTAACCACTGAGCCATCTCTCCAGCCCTCTGAAAATTCTTTAGAGGTTCTTGAAACTTACAGGACCCACAAGGACCCTCATGGTTCTATAAGCAGTAAGGACTACTGGCTGTCCTGGAACTCACTCTGTAGACCAGGCTAGCCTCGAACTCATAGATCCACCTGCCTCTGCCTCCCAAGTGCTGGGATTAAAGGCGTGCACCACCACCCAGCAATTTTACTTTTAAAGCTTACCTTGGGATACTATCTACTGAGATTTTATATTTCAGTGGAAAAATGCCCTTCAGTATATAGTATTTTTCAGTATGTAATTGTTACTGAGCTTCTGTAAATGCCATCTCAATGTAGTTTTATGTCATTGAACAGAAACCAAAATAAAATAAATGCTTAATATCAAAGCAATAAAACGTTTTTCTTTTTTTTAAAAGATCAGCCAACTTCTTTTTTTTTTATTTATTATGTATACAATATTCTGTCTGTGTGTATGACTGCAGGCCAGAAGAGGGCACCAGACCTCATTACAGATGGTTGTGAGCCACCATGTGGTTGCTGGGAATTGAACTCAGAACCTTTGGAAGAGCAGGCAATGCTCTTAACCTCTGAGCCATCTCTCCAGCCCCCAAAAACGTTTTTCTTGCCAGGCAGTAGAGGCACATGGTTTTAATCCCAGCACACAGGATGCAGAGGCAAGTAGAACTCTGAGTTCGAGGCCAGCCTGGTCTACGGAGTGAGTTCTAGGACAGCTGGGGCTACAAGAGAACCCTGTCTCAAAAAGGCTTACTTGCATCTGTGTGCCTGCCAGGGTGTATATACTCATATGTACACTGGAAGAGGGCCGCAGATCCTGAGCTGGAGTTGGGGGCGGCCTGGCATGGGCCCTGGCAACCAAACTCCAGTCTGCTCTTCTACAAGAAGAGCAAGATCTCTTAATTGCCGTGCTCTCTCTAGTTAACCTTTCATCCTCACCCTTCCTCCCTCCCTTCTCTGTTTCCCATCCCATCAGTGTTGCCTAGGCTAATATGTAGCTCATGGGCTTACTTGACCCCCCAGCCTCAGCTTCTGGAGCAGCTGGAACTGTACGCAGCACCATGCTCATCATGTCCATTTTACACGTGAGCAGAAGCTTGGAGCGACAGAAGGACCCAAAGTGACATGGTTAATAAGGGGGGAAATGAAGGATTAAAACCCTGAACTGAATGAATACGGTGTTCAAGTCGATTCTCAATATTCCATTATGGCCTCTTAAACGTCCACAGATCACCTAGCAGATCTTTAGTTACTGTGTCATCATTAGTACACTCAGGGCCTTTCAAGTGGATGTTTATCTTCTGAAGTGGACGAGACCCAGACCCACAGATCGTGTGAGCTGGCATGAGCCAGAGGGAGCGCATTAACCTCCTTGACTGCCGTCAGTTCCGACCCCTGAGAAAAAAGGCAGCAGACGGAGTGCTGTTCTTTTCCTCAGCCGTGTGTCTGTTTCTGCATTTTATCCTGTTCCTACCCATCTCATTGACACTTACAAAACCCCGTGAGATATTTATTCTTATCCTACAAATGAGACATCAGCTCGGGGATTAATGAGTCGTCCAGCTGCTCTCTGATAAAGCTGATGCTACATCCACAGAGACCTTGGGTGGTAGGCAGGGTTCCGTCTCCTGAGATGTCCCACCCACCACTTCCATGTTTACATCCTACATAATCCTCAGGACTATGAATCTGACTGAATTCATTATCATTTATACGGCAGTAAATGTGACAGGGCACAATTAATGTTAAGAAAGAGAAACTAAGCCGGGCAGTGGTGGTGCACACCTTTAATCCCAGCACTCGGGAGGCAGAGGCAGGCGGATCTCTGTGAGTTCGAGACCAGCCTGGTCTACAAGAGGTGGTTCTAGGACTGGCTCCAAAGCTGCAGAGAAACCCTGGAAACCCTGTCTCGGAAAACCAAGAGAGAGAGAGAGAGAGAGAGAGAGAGAGAGAGAGAGAGAGAGAGAGGAAGAAGAAGAAGAAGAAGAAGAAGAAGAAGAAGAAGAAGAAGAAGAAGAAGAAGAAGAAGAGAAGAGAAGAGAGACTAGAGGACTGGAGAGATGGCTCAGTGGTTAAGAGACCTGACTGCTCTTGCAGAGAACCCACGCTTGATCCCCAGCACCCGTATAGTGGCTCACACTCACTTGTAAGGTCCTGTTCAGGGGATCTGGTGCCCTTTACTGACCTCTACAGGGACCAGACTCACAAGCAGCAAGTAGACAAAACAGGCAAAACATTCACACAATAAAAATAAGTAAAGATAGGCTGGAGAGATGGCTCAGTGGTTAAGAGCATCGCCTGCTCTTCCAAAGGTCCTGAGTTCAATTCTCAGCAACCACATGGTGGCTCACAACCATCTGGAATGAGGTCTGGTGCCCTCTTCTGGCCTGCAGACATACACACAAACAGAATATTGTATACATAATAAATAAATAAATATAAAAAAATAAGTAAAGATATATTTTGTAAAAGAAAGA